CGTTTTTCATATGATCATAACCATTTGATTGCAAGTGTTTATAATAACTAGATACTTGAATTTTATTATCATTTTTACCTAACGATATTAATTTATTACATTTGCATTTAATACTTGCTTTTACATCTATATTTTCATCAAAATCAATCTTCAAAATAAAATCAACGTTTTCTTCTAAATTAAAATGTTCTAAATCAAAATTTTCTTTCTTATCTGAACACCATTTCTGAATGAGTTTAAGAACATGTGCTTTATGTTCAGCCAAAGACAATTTATTAGATACTGATAGTGCTTATGTTGTTGCTGGTGCTGCTGGTACTAATGAATATATAGATGATGAAGTCGTATTAAATAATTGTTGTTGATATTTTCTTCCTTTTGATTTTGTTAATTGTTCATTAGCTTATTTTTTTAATGCATCTTTTAATGAGCGAAATCCTAAAATTACTCCAGGTTTGAGCACAAATTTTTTATTTTTTAATTTAAATGAAAGTTCCTCTTTTAATTTTTCTAACTCTTCATCATCAATATCATAATTAAAGATATCAAGTGGATCTTCAGTTTGAATTAAGGATGTTGTTGATTTGATCGATATTTTATTTAGTAGATTAGCTTCTGGTTCACCAAGAACAGTCTTAATAAGTAGAAAAAAATCATAACCGGACAAAGATAATACATCTGCCGGCAGATAATCGAAGCTAAAAGAAGTTGACATAAAAAATATCTTCTAAAATTAAATTTCAATAAAAGTACAGAAAGATTTAGTAATTAATATTTGGATTCGGAAAATGCTTTTTGAAAAAAATAGCTCAATGAAAATAAGTAATGACACCTAAGTTAAGTGATAGATCAGTGATTAGCTAATACAATAAACCAATCAAGGATAATTAGACCATTTACATTTTTACATTTATATTTATATTATTCGTCTCACAGTGAATTTTTTATGCTTTCCACAAAGCAGTGACACCTGTAAGAAAATAAAATAAGAAGGAATCATATGATTCTCAATGAACTTTCTCTCACCATATCACACTGTAAAAAATGCCAAGTGTCTTACAAGACAATGTATGCGTGTAACGCTTAGTTTAGGCACATGTTAGACATGAGATGCGTCTTGTTTTTAGACACTTGAAACGAATAGACACTGACGCGTCGTA